TCATTCTCTCATGGTTCATGGGTTCGAGCCCTGTATCGGGCTCTGTGCTGACAGCTCAGCTTCTGATTCTCTGTCTCCCTCTCTCTCTGCCCCTCCCCAGCTCATGCTCTGTCTCAAAAATGAATAAACATTTTAAAAAATGTAAAAAGCAGTTGTGGTAGTGAGGAACAGCCCTGCACCTGTCTTTTGCAGTATATTAGCTCTCAGTTGAGGTTCTCAAGTGCATAACCAAATCTTCGTTGAGGCCCATTCTCTCCTTCTAGGAAAGCATCTCCTAAAACGTATATTCCACAATTGGATATGCAGAATTTTTAGCAGCACCAGAGACCATAGGTCGTGTCTTCTACCATAATAGGGACCACACTCCTATTGGTGCTCATAAATCCTTGCAGAGAACTCTGGTAACCTGTGTCCTTAGATTTACCCTGGAGATGATTGTACTAAAGCCAATTTCTGCTTCAACAGTAAGAGAGTATAGTTCTTATGAGACGGTAGATTATAATAGGCGTATATAGAGTTGCTTCTTGCCTGATTACAATGTAAACCATAGTATTCAGCCTAAGTTCTCAGGGTAATCCTGTTCTCCATAGTCGAATGGTTTGAATGGTTTCTGGTTTTCCATATAGGAGTGTGTGTACCTGACCTCAGGGTCAGGACTCTGGCCCCTCGGCAGTGCCGTGAGTGTGTCCATCAGTGAACACTAATGCCCCAGTAACTAATCCATAGATCTGCTTTCAATCTGTTTTCTTACTTTTAAAGACACAGAGATTTAATGGCCAGTTTTTATTTAGGATATTTGTGTCTAGATTCACAAATGAAATGGGCCTTATTGCTTTCTGTTTTTAGACTGTCTGTTGATCTTAGAATTAAGAATACTGTCATAGGGGTGCCCGGATGGCTCAGTCGGTTATCTGACTCTTGATCTCAGCTCAGGTCACGATCTCACAGTTTGTGAGTTTGAGGCCCGCCTTGGGCTCTGTGCTGACAGTGCAGAGGCTGCTTGAGATTCTCTCTCTCTGCCCCTCCGCTGTTCTCTCTCTCTTAAAATAAGTAAATAAACTTAAAAAAAAAAAAAAGAATACTATCATGAAATGACTTGAATATTTTTTATTATTTTTATGTTTTCTTAAGCAACTTGAAAAGAGATTTTTCTGGCCCCTGAAAGTTTGCTGGGGTACACGTCAAACTATCTGGGCCTGTGTGGTTTTGAGGAGTCGGGTAAAAGGCAAGCAGGGGCGATTGCCATTTTGGCTTCATGGGCTTTAGTTTCTTTTTCCCTCCCTTCTTGTGCCAGAACTTTTCATGTTTTTCCTACAAGTCGAGAGAATGTAATTTATTGTTTTAGAGTTGCTAACACTTTGCGCTCATCCGTAAATTCCTTGGGGAAGAGTGCACACACGTGAGTGAGCAGAGCCCTGCTGTGCAGCTGGGGTCCCTCACGGTCACCGCTTCAGAGCAGAATCCATCGCTTCTGTCCCGGACGGATGCACTGCTGTCCTGCAGTCCAGTCCATCGCTGCCTGCGGTTCTAGATTCTTCAGCCACGTGTGTGGGCCTAAGCCATATTAGGTGCTACTTTGCGTTTTCACATATATTGGCACAAAATGTTCATATATTTTATTTTAATGTTTCTTTTTTTTTGAGAGAGGGAAAAAGAGACAGAGAGAGAGATCAGGAGAGGGGCGGGGGCCAGGGGAGGGACAGAGAGAATCCCAAGCAGGCTCTTCACTGTCAGCGCAGAGCCTGACTCGGGGCTCGATCTCATGAACTCTGAGATCATGACCTGAGCTGAAACCAAGAGTGGATGCTTAACTGAGTCTGAGCTGCCCAGGTGCCTGGTTGTATTTTATTTTTTTAATCCCTGAAGCACTTTTAGCTACATCTACTTTCTTTTCTTTTTCTGTCTCTCTCACAAGTCTGTATTCACATACACGATCAGTCTTCCTAGAAGTTAGTGTATTTTATCTTTTTGGCAAAATTCACCCTTCTTAATCTTCTGTATCACTTTTTAATTTCTTGCTGTTCTGATTCCCTTTCTTCTTTTCCCTCTGGGTTTATTCTTTTGCTAACTTCTTGGATCAGTCGGCTTGGTGGTGGGGTTCTTTCCTAACACACAACTGTGCACACGAGCATTGCCACACTCACCCCTTATTGGTTGGGGATCATGCAGGTACATAATTTTTTTTTTAAATGTTTTATTTATTTCTAGGGGAGAGAGAGAGAGACAGCGTGAGCAGGGGAGGGTCAGAGAGAGGGGGAGTCACAGACCGAAACAGGCTTCAGGCTCTGAGCTGGCAGTCAGCACAGAGCCCGACATGGGGCTCGAACCCACGAACTGCGAGATCATGACTTAAGCGAAAGTCGGACGATTAACCAACTAAGCCACCCAGGCGCCCCATGCAGGTACATAATTTGAACACTACCTGTGCATATGAACTTTTAGAGCTACACACTTTTCTTTGAAATGCCACTTTAACTGCATCCCACTAATTTTTATGGGATTTTAAATTAATCTTATTTTTTTAATGTTTTATTTATTTTTGCGATCGCAAGCGGGGGAGGGGCAGACAGAGGGGGCCAGAGGATCTGAAGCAGGCTCTGTGCAGATGGCAGTGAGCCCAATGTGGGGCTCAAACTCATGAAGCAGAAGACCACAACCCGAGCTGAAGTTGGATGCTCAACCGAGTGAACCCCCCCAGGCACCCCTAATTTTGTCCTTAAGCTATTCTATAATTTATATGTTCCTGAAGTCATGGAAACAAATAAAATGAGATGTTTTACTTTCTTGCGGGGGAATGAGATTCTTTGTAATCCACTGTGTGAACTTCTGGTCTTGAGTAAAACAAGTAAGAAACATTTCTGTTAATAAAAGTAGAACCCACAAACACCCAGGGTAGCGTGGGAGGCATCCGTCGGCTTAGATGTGTAGTATTTTCTTATTTCTCATTTCACTTCCATGGTTCACTATGCTCTGTTAGTGCATTTTAAACTACTGGCGTGTTTGAAAGCCCCCTTCTCACCTTGTTCTCAGTGGTGAGCGTCCTCAGGAGGTGGGGGCCGTGATCCAGATTCCTCAGCCCTCGCTGAGACCCGCTCTGCGGCCTGTCCAGGGTCGGTTTCCATGGCACCTCCCTGGCAGGGACCAGCTTCTCTGACATCTCACAAGCCTGGTGGCCGAGCTGTTTAAACCTGCCGCGTGCTTGCTGGATTGCACTCTTGATCTATTGATTATTGAGAGTGGAAGGCGAAATCGCATTGTAATTGTGTCATTTCCCAAACTTGTAGTTCTGCTTTACTTTATCAATTCTGAAACGGTATGATTTGCTGCATATAAGTTAGGGTTTTGCCTTTCTGCTAATGTTTTTTAACATTAGAAAATGGGTCTTGTTTTTATTAGTGCCTTTTTCTATTTTGTTGACCCTTTTATTGTCAACTGTTGGGCCTTATGCTTTGGTGGATGTTTTTCCCCCCAAAGAGGCATAACAGTTTTTTTTTTAATTTTTTTTTAATGTTTTTATTTATTTCTAGGAGAGAGAGAGAGAGAGACAGCATGAGCAGGGGAGGGTCAAAGAGAGAGGGAGTCACAGACTGAAACAGGCTCCAGGCTCTGAGCTGGCAGTTAGCACAGAGCCCGACGCGGGGCCCGAACCCACGAACCGCGAGATCATGACCTAAGCGAAAGTTGGACGCTTAACCGACTAAGCCACCCAGGCGCCCCGAGGCATAACAGTTTTAAAAAAATTTTTTAACATTTATTTTTGAGAGCCAGAGCGTGAATGGGGGAGGGGCAGAGAGAGGGAGACACAGAATCCACAGCAGACTCCAGGCACAGAGCCCAACATGGGGCTCAGAGTCATGAACTGTGAGATCATGACCTGAGCCAGAGTCGGATACTTAACTGGCTGAGCCCTCCAGGAGCCCAGTGGTGTATCATTTTTTAAAGAGCATGTGGCATATTGCCATCATTATTCTTTATTTTTTTTAAGTTTACTTATTTTGAGAGAAAGTGTGTGCAGGGGAGGGGAGAGGTAGAGGGAGGAGAGAGACTCCCAAGCAGGCTTCGTGCTGTCAGTGCCGAGCCCAATGTGGGGCTCGATCCCATGAGCTGTGAGATGGTGACGTGGTGAGCTGAGATCAAAAGTTGGAGGTTTAACTGACTGAGCCACCCAGATGCCCCATTCTCCTTTTCAATTATGAAATTTAGTTCATTCTATTACATTTATTACTAGTAATCTTCTTTCATCTTACATTTGTCCTGCTTTTAAAAAACTGGTTTCTGTTGCTGTTCTCTATTTTCCTATTCCTTTAGATAAAGCAAGTTTTTAAAATACTTTTTTTCCGTGCTCGCTTTGGCAGCACATGTAACAAAAATATTTTTTTCCTCCATCGACTAGTTTGTCATAATCCTCTATTTGTGTCTTGTGTGTGTTTAATTTACTATAGAAGCAGTCTATGCTTTCTTCTCTTCGAAAACAACCTGTAACATTTTAACCTCAGTGTGTTACATAGTATTGCCTGGTAGTTTTTTTTTTACTGCTACTCACATAAGATGTTAATGTTTATACAATCAATATTTGTTTTTGATTTATTCACATTCATTTAGTTCACATTTCCTCATGCTTCTCGGACTTTTACAGGTAGGACTGTCTCCCTTCTTTCTGGAATATTTCCTTTGGAAGTTTCTTTAGTTACAGGGGTCTGGTGGTAGTGAACTCTGTTTTTGTTTGTCAGCACGTGTATGCGACTGTGGAATTTCCTGGTCCTCTGACTGTGATTGCAGCTCAGAGGTGTAGTGTCTTCTAGGTCACCAGCCACCGGCAGGTGCTGCGCACCTTCTCCTCCTGGCAAACACGAGGCTATAGTGTATTTATAAGGATGAGACTCCAGATTGACAGACTGCTCATTAACGACACATGACCATTCTTGTGTCCCGCAAGGAAACCCAGAAAATGTGGAATGTGTGTGGAAAGCGATTCAGACACAGCACTTAAAACTGTGGGAACTCATGCTTTAATAGACACTGAAATCACAAAGGAAGGCCAAGTGCCTTAACAATCTCAATAAAAATATGAAGTTCTTTTTACATGGTAAATTTCGTAATATAAAAAGTTTAATGCCATCTGGAAACTGTAATTTACAAAAAAAAGTCCACCTAGGCCAAGGATGGCTAACACGGCATACGATGGGGGGTGAGTGCCAAGTGGGGAAGGTGTCTGAGGCGGGGAGAGGGGACCGCATGTGTCCTCACATCTTTGAAAGACCCATGACAAGCAAGGGCTTGGCTCACAAACCACGTGAACAATCCTTTTAGATAAAACAACAAACTATGTGATGAAAATGACGCAATTTTTGTCCTCTGCCTACTTACTGAGAGCGACCAGAGTTCCGCGCCATATTCCCTCCACACTGAGCAGTAACTAACCAAGTGGCGGTGGGAGGTGGGGGGGGGGGTGCTAGGCGCGTGCTGGGGACTTCCTCCAGCGACCACTCACCGAGATTCACGGGGATGGCAGAGCCATACAAGGACATTGTGTGTGGCTCTCGTCTCCTGCTGAGAGTCAGCAAAGATCGGCATGGACCATGACGTTTTTCAAATCGGATGGAGGCGAGGACGTTTTCGTTTCACTACATGCTAAGGTGGACCGAAATGTAAGTTTCAGTAGCTTGTTTCATCCTGGCGTTTTGACTTGGTTAGCATCAGGGACGTAGCTGACTATTCACCGGTGAGAGTTCAGATGGGCTCTACTACCTTGCTTGGTGACCACACCAAGGAGAGGAGGTTTTCTGGGAGAGGGAGATTTTATTGCTTGTGTTCAGTGTGTCTGCATCTGATGGAGTAGAACGGGGGCAGGGCATTCCCGTTTCCTGAGCTGAAAACGAAATAGATCCAATGCTTTCTGCACATCGTAAGGAAAAGATGGTTTTGTAAGTTTTACCTACATCCGCTGGCTCATTCCAAGTGGGGCACAGAGCCACGGACTAAGCAGGGGTCCTCTGCTTCTACCCCGTGGCTCAGGGTGCCCACGCATGCCAACTTTATCCACAACTTGACACTCACGCTCCCTAGACTGTAGAAACAAAACGTTCTCATTGTGTTTTGCGCCTCCTACACCAGCAGTCAGCAAACTTCTCAAACGGTCAGGCGTCAGGTATGGCAGGCTTCGTGGGCCAAGAGGCAAGATCAAGAATGTTATGGAGGTACTTCTGTATTTAAACATGTGAAATCCATTCCTATCTTGTGGCTATAAACAACGAGGCCTCTGACCAGATTTGCCAACACAGTTTGCCAACCCCTGATCTGTACAAAGAAACTTGTGAATTATACAATTTCACATAACTTTTAAGTGCATACTTTTTTTTTTTCTTCAGTGGAGGAGCCTGAAACATCTCCTTTGACTTTACATCCATTTCACTCATAAAGAAAACACCAAGACAGTAAACATAAGGAGGTGGCAATTCTACAGTGATTTTCAGATTGGTCCTTATTGTTTTGTCGTGTTACACTTTCCTTCATTGAAGCTTATCTCTAAGGACAAGGGAAAAAAGTCAAATGCACCATTTGGTTTTTCAACACGAAACCTAAAACAACAGTGTGGTTAGAACTAAAGCCAGGTTAGGGTCCGTGAGACCTCCTAGCCGGCTCGGTCCGCACGGGAAGCGGACTGGGTGGTGGGGGACGAGCACTGGAGGTGGACGGGGGCTGGGGGGGTGCCCACACCCCCGGCCGGTCCTCCAGGGCTCCTCGGCACTTGGGAAAGAGGCTGAGATGGCTAAGAAAGGAACCGCCTAACTATCTACATCAGATTCAGAAATCTACTCTGAGGTTTCGCTTCTGCTGCTGAGGACCTGATTTTGCTATCTAAATGCACAGTGCTATGAGCCTGCTTTCATTTGCTGCTCTGGGACTTGTATTACCGTTTGGTTTTTCCCTACTGACATCAAGAACCTCGTGATTGCTTCTTCACGAAGCGTATGTCTTCCCATGTTGGGGTCAGGGCTCGAAGGGGACATCCTTACTGACTGTTGGGGTAAAGGCAAGAAAACCTCTATGATGGAGCTCGGGAGAGCGAAGCGCTGAAGAAATGTTCTCCTTCCCTTTTCTCGGGGTTCACTGAGGAACAGGGCAAGCGGTTGGTCAGCATGTGTTGACAGAGTGACGTCCTGCCGGAGGTTAAAAGCTCTACTTGGGGGTCTTAATGTTAGTGCCCCTCCCGCCAGGCCCCTCACGGCCACTGCACGGGGGCCGATATTTTCCAACTAAATTTAGTACTAGTATGATTTTTAGCATTTCATCTCTTTCTTTATAAGTCACTGCTTACCCCTACCTAGACGGTCTTTTGTCATAGCCTGGCTGATGGTAACTTGGGTGCGCGCTCACGGCTGGAGGAGACGCCAGCCCTGCTCGTGTAGGGCGGCACTTTCAGGGATGTTTCCCTGCTCATCAATCACATGGGTGTAAATCCCAGCAAAAGCCCCCTGTCTCCGCTGCCAACACTGAAGTGTAATGTGGGAGGGGAGGGGGTGGGGCCTGCTGTGGTGAGGGCGTCACAGACATGGGTGCTGGGACTCTGGGAGCCTGGGAACGGATCTGCAGAGGAGACAGGTCAGAGGCCGAGAGTTGGGAAAAGAGAATAAAATTAAAGCAGCTACTAAAGGGAATAGGAGCTGGAATTTCCCTTCTGGTTAAATCCATTTAGCTGCGGGATTTTTTTTTTTTTCCTTTTTCTTTTTTGCTTTACAAGGAAACTGAATAATTTCACCCCCCCAACTTGATAATTACTTATTGATGACTATTCAAAATTTGACATTTTAAAAAATTTGAGCCTTTTAAAAATAACAGCTATAAATGCAAAGTACTATTGATAATAAAACCGAGTTGTTTATCCAAGTACAAAAAACATCAATAATGTTTTCAAAGCACAAAGTTGCATTTTAAATCACAATTGCATAGTTCTAAAATGCCTGGATAAGAGAGTTACATAAAATTTTTCAGAAAATTCAAGTTTGGTTGACAGTGGGGCCCCAAGGACGTTTGTGGAGTTGAGGACGGAAGCACTGTTGAACCGTGAGTTATTGCATTGCTACTGTGACGTTCCGCTGTCATACGACCAGAATTGCTACAGTTTAATTACAAATCATTGGCATTTTAAAAACCATTCTGTTTTTGGCTAGTATCACACTTTCATGTAGTATTCAACTTAGATTTTATATATCCCTCCCCCAACCAGCACCTGAAAGCCTTAAAAAAAAGCTCTATTTGTATTTCTGTGTATAAAAGGTACTGCATATATGCCTCTTAGCAAAATATGTGCTCCCTTTCCTCTCCCCACCCAGAACCACGACCGTTTTTGTAAAAAATCCTGTTGAAGAGTCACAGCAAAGATGAGAAGCAGGGAGTTCAAGGTAAACATTGGGTGAAGCGTGTAGAAAAGTCCACGAGCCTCCGGTACCAACCCCACGCACGTTCCGGCTTGCGGTGGCTCTGGCCCAGGGTGGCCGCCAGCCGTGAGGATGGGGGGCACTGGGGGGGGGTGGGGGGTGGTCCGCGCCCAGCGAGGGGGGGCAGCGCTCAGACTGTGGGCTCGGCCCCGTGAGCGGCACCACCCTCTGCGGCCCGCGGGTGTGAGGTGCTCTAGCATTTGGAGGAGGGGAAAAATCTTCCCGGGGACAGAAACTTGTAGCCGTTGCCGGAAGGCAGTCTGAAAGGGCGGGCGGGGGCGGGGGCGACGGGGCCGGCGGGCAGGGGCAGCGTGCCCAGCGCCGTGGTCTCCGTGCGCCAGTGGCCGTTGGGAGGGGCTTTTTGTGGCGTGTCTCCGGGCGGCTGCATAGACAGTTCCTTAAGTTCCAGCTTGTCGACTCCTTCCTCCTTCTTGTTGTGCCGAGGAGACAAATTTAACAGACTGAGGACATCTCTTTTGGAAGTCATGGTCCCCGGGGGCCCCCGGAATATCTTCACCGGCCCCGCGGAGTGCTGGGGCGCGCTCTGCCAGAACATCTTCAGGTTGTGCACGGCCTGCACCTTCTCGTCGATGGCCGCCAGCTTCAGTTTGTCTATGTCGGGGGCGTCGGCGGGGCTGGAGCGGGCCGAACCGGCCGACGAGTAGGACAGGGCCGGGGACGGCGCGCTGCCGGCGGGGGACTGGTGGCCCGAGCTCGGGGACGCATTCCTCGGCGACTTGGAGATGTGCGCGCTGTAGGGAGAGCTGGGGTACTTGAGCTTAAAGAGGGGCTGCTCGGGCAGGGAGGTGTGGGGGTCGGCGCCGGGCGACGGCCGCGCCCCGTGCTGGCTCGCGCCGTCCTTGGCGGACGCCTCGGAGCCGGTGGGGCTGCTGTACCCTGAACTCACCTTGGGGAGGGACGAGCTTCTGGCGGGGGGCTTTGGTTTAGCGGTGACGGGCGACGGCTGGCCCCTGGCGTGCGAGAGGGGGGGCCGGCTGAACGCGCTGGTCTCCGACGCCCTGAAGACCGCGGCTCCGTTGGGCCCGGCGCCGCCGTCCTCCGGGGGCCCGTTCTTGCTGCCCTGGCCGCCGCCCCTCTGCAGCCGCTCCACCGCCATGAGATGACTTTGCGTCTCTTCTAGAATCTTCTGGGCCAACTCTTGTGGATCAAGCTTTGGGTTGCTTTCTTCTTGGGACTTCACGGTGCTGTCGGTTTCCGTGCTCGACTGGTCCGATTCTCCCGTGTCCGAACTTGCTAGTTTGCCGACTTTTTGGAAGGGAGAGTTGGGGCTGGGAATCAGGGTCATTTTAACCGGAGAGTTGGGCGTGCTCACGCTGCCCTTGGAGCTGACGGAAACCTTCAGGCCCCCGGCTGCCCCCGCGCGGCACTGCTTGTGGTCCGGCGAGAAGCGCGGCTTCCCGTCCTCCGGGTAGGCCGCCAGCGGCTCGGTGCTGATGATGGAGAAGCCCTCGTACTCTTCGTCGTCTTTGCCGCCCGCAGGGCGCGTCTGGGGGGACAGCTGGCCCCGAGGCAGCGTGGACCGCTGCGGGTAGGCCGTCCTGGACCGCTCGTAGTCCTGCCGGCCGCGGGCGCCCCCGCCTTCCGACCCCGCCTCGGGCTTGGAGACGAAGCTCATGGAGGAGGCGATGGAGCTCAGGCTGTACACGGAGATGGCGTCGGAGGCGATGCTGTCGGCGCCGGTGGGGGAGAAGGGAGGCTGCTGGTAGCTCAGGGGCAGGGCGTTGGAGACAGACTGGGCCGAGGCCAGAGACTCCAGCGAGGACGAGCTGTCGAGGCTGAGGCGCTTGGGCAGCTCGGTGGAATCTAAGACAAGACATCAGTGCCCAGAGGGCAGTTAGAATTCTCTGTGGCTTTGAGGGTTCTTTCAAGGTCACAGGCATCCCCTGACGCGCAGGAACTAGCCGGGACCGTGTACGTGCTCTTACCCACAGTCTGCGCCTACCCCGCAATCCTGGGGAACGCGCCCGCTGGGAAGAGTGAGTGTGGCGCAGGAGAACGCAAAGCCCCGCAGGCCACAGCGCCCCTGCCACGGCCCCCATGTCACGGCCCCCACGTCTGCCTCGTGCTCCGAGCCTGTGGGCCGTCTGTGCTGTCCCCTGTCCCGAACCCACAGCCACCACCCTCGGGATTCCAGCAGCCTCCTCAGGGTCATTTACACTCCCTCTCTGCGTTGCCTCCTCCCCCGCCCCCCGGAGCCTCCGTCCTCCCGTTTCCGAGAACGTCACGGGCAGACCCGTGCTCCCTGCCCAGGTCCACAGTGGGCCTCGCCCTGCCCTCACTGACCACTCCTTCCCAGGCCCTCCTCATCTCTGCGACAGGACACAGCCCTCTCCCCGCTGGGCTCTCCCTGAACCGCAGATGCCGGTACCCAGCTGTCGGCACAGGTGTCTAACGGCTATTTCAAAACTGACCGTGTCCAAGATGGAACTCAGACCCATTCCTCCTGCCACTTTCAAGGTCTCAGCAAAAGGTGGCATTTGTTCCCCCAGACAAGGTATCGCCTGCGACCCTCCCTTTCGGTGACATACATCCTTCAGCAGATCCCGTGGATTCTGCCTTCAGACCACGGCCACCATCCTCGCCAGCATCCAGACTTTGAGTGGTGGCCAGTGTGGCCCTCTGAGAGCCACAGGCAGGCAGGTGTGCCCCCGGGGGCCTGAAAACTGCTTGTGGTGTGAGTGACTAGGACCCGCCCCTCCCTAAGTCTCCCGCTGCCACTCTGTCTTGTCCCATCCTCTGTGTGTCATCCTCACCCCGTTGGGCAACACCTTGTCTCTACCACCTGTTTTGATCATTAAGTTCGGGTGTTTACTGCCTTTGAACTGTTCTGAACACTTATGCAAAAACTACTTGTTCACTTTTCTTCCCCTTCCCAAATTGCCGCCAGGCTGGTGTCTGCATGCGGGGTGGAAGGGGTGCGGAGGGCGGCGCGGAGGGGCGCTTACCGAAGAGCGCGAGCAGAGACTGCAGTGCAAAGTGCATGGTTCGCCGATTGGCTTGTTTCCCGGTTTTCAGGATTACTTCCTCCTGACCCACCTCACAGAGATCGAACCCTAGGGGAACGAGGACCGTAAATATCTGCTTCCGTGGGGAAGAGTGCGGGGGCCCCGTGTGCAGGGCGTGCACCTGGAGGCCTGGCTTCCTCCCTCCTGCCAATCCTGAGGCACCGGCAGCTTCCGTGCCCTCAACGGTGTTCCTGAGAGCCCCTGGTCCCAGCCAGTGCGGCTCGTTAATATTTGCTGCTCCCTCCATTCTTCCCCAGAACCGTCCCCTTAAAAAAGCCTTGAAGAAGGACAAAAACTGGCCACTCCACTCAGCATGGGGTCCAGCACTTAAAGCCGGTGCCAGTGCCGGGGAAGGTGGAAGCTTCTCAAGGTCAGGGTCGGTGTCTTCATGCATCGTCAGCGTCTGCGGCCAGGGGCTCAGAGACTCTGGGCTGAGCCTCCCCACAGGGACTGCGCTGTTTGTTCTGCGGAAGCCTGGGCTGGGGGGGCACTCCCTGGCGCTAGCAGTTCTCGAGAGGGAGAGCGGGCACAGCAAAGGGCAGGAGGCTGGCTAACGAGCTGCTGCCACCGCCCTGGGACTTCTTAGAGATGTCGCAGAGGCACCTGACGCACTTCTCCCTGGGAGAAGCAGAGGAAGAAGCCAAACGCAGACGCCATGGTCAGAGGCTATGTGCACGGATAGTACGTAGGGCCCGGGGGCCCTCAGCACTGAACGTCTGCACTCAGCCTCCGCAGCGGGTCACTGAGCTCCGCCTGACACCATGGAGCTGCTTGGTGCCGACGGCCTTGGGGGCAGGCACCTGTGACCCCAGGCCCTCCCCTCCTCTGACCTGTGTTCTGGTGACAGGGCTCTGTGACCTACGATCTGCCGTGGTCTGCGTGCCGTGCCTTTCACAGCAGACTGTTCGCCAAAGCGGAAGTGTGTCTGTGGCTTCTGATTCGGGTCTGACACTGTAATTCCTCTAGGAATCTGATTCACTCGAGGAGCTACCTCAGCCTTCCACTTGCTGTGAGACATTTTACCCTCTGAACTCAAAAGTAAACTGTCCCTGAAAGCAAGGAAGGTCTCTGAGAACTCAGCATTTCAGGGCGAATAACTAACTACTATAAAATGTAATGCTTTGGTTAGAAACCTCTACTTTTAGCAAAACCTTGGTTCCTCTGACAAAAGTGAAGGAAATAACCAACTGCCCTGTGATGGGTGGATGGCTCCTGCCCGGCGCCGAGGACTGGAAAGAGGGCACTCAGGGCCTCAAGAGTGAGGGAAGTCACTTGTCCAGAGGCCCGGCTTGCAGAGACTTTTCCTCCTCCAGCCCAAGTCCGGGCACACTGGGTCGCCCCTGAAGTATCAGTGGATTTGGAAAGTGCCAGGAAGTAGAAAATTACCCACAATTCCTAACACTGAGGAGAGCTAGCAATACACCTGGAAATATCCAGGTCACCGGTGAGGAGGACTGGCTGTCAGGCCCACACGGAAGGGAGGCAGTGTAGGCCCTTCGTGAGGAAGACAGTGTTTCCTTTATAAAGAAAGGTCTTGGCCCTGTCTTCCCTCACCTGGGTCCTGTGTCACTGCTCCAAGGCCAGGCCTGTCCTGAAAGTCAAGAGAGATTCCTCCTGGGTGTGGATCTGGCCTTTCTCACTCTTGATCCAATTGCTACTGACTGTATTTATTTAGATACTAATTTACTACATTTATACCGAGAAGACTATGCTTTAAGTCCACAGAAACAAATAGTACAAATCATAAAGGACGTCAGAGCATTGACTTACAGGGGCTTAGGGGTTTCACCATCGAAAGCAAATGGAGCCAGGGGCGCCTGGGTAGCTCAGTCGGTTATGTGTCCAGCTCTTGATTTTGGCTCAGATCATGATCTCACACTTTCTGAGATTGAGACCTGGGTCTGGCTCTGTGCTGAGAGCATGGAGCCTGCTTGGGATTCTGTCTCTCCCTCTCTCTCTCTCAAAATAAACAAACATTAAATAATTAAAAAAAAAAAAAGGCAAATAGAGCCAGCCCTAAGTTGAGGTGGGCCAGGAAAGGTCATCTGCAAAATGGGTTATAAATGAAACCGGATACTCAATATCCAACTTTCACAGGCAGAAGGAAACTTCCTTTTTAAGGACTGGCTGTCCTGCCACATGGGATGGCAGGTCCGGGTAACCTGAACGGAACCCCCCTCCCTCGGGTGTGGGGCCACAGGCCCTCCCGGGGCCTCGGGGCCTCACCTGCCCCCATGGCCCCTGCACCGGCACAGGCGCCTCCCGCATCCGCTCATCAGTGGCTCTTCTTCTGCCTGGGTCTTTCACCCCGAAGACATCCCCTGCTTCCACCCCTGCAGCCACTGCCGTGGCCCTAACGCTTCTGCCTGTGACCTGCGGTGTTCCCGTAGGCCAGGCGTCCACCGTGTCTGGCCCACCAGCAGCCTGACTACTCTGGAGCGCGAGGCCAGCTCTGGGCTCCGTGCTGCACCCCCGGAGCCGAGCACATGGCCTCACAGGACCCAGGTGTTTGCAGACAAGCTTGCGGCGGGCATGGCTCCCGGGCAAGTCACACGGGCACTCGAGTGGGACAGGAGGGCGGCCTACAGCCTCTTGTGGTATTTGTGTCCAGAAATACATCTAGTAAAGTCGCAGTTAAGTCAGGAGCTGCCTTGGCCGTGCTGCAGTGTCAGAGGGAATAGAAAGATCCTGGATGGACAAGGGTCCTGGTGCATCAGGCCTACGTCCCTGGCACCAAATCTAACAGGGCTTCAACAGGAGTGAGACTAACCCTGAACCCATCATTTTGTGACTTCATTTTCTCTAGCTTTTAATCATGGCTTGACCCCCAGTGGTGCTGGATCCAGCACATTTATATTAAGATGATGCCTAGAAATGAGAGATGAGATCAAAATGTTGGGGAGATGGAACCAGGCTAGAGGGCCATTTGGAAACTGGGCTAAAGCACCGGAATCTTTGCACCATCTTTACATAGTAAAACAGCTAAGAAAACACGGAGACCCCTAAGCATCCACCAGCCTTCCCCAATAGAAACTAGGGGAAACAGGTTTTTAAAAAAAATGGAAGTGAAGAAGTCGGTCAGTGAGGGGTGCCCCGTCCTACCTAGAGCCGCCAGGAACTCGTGACAGCCCGGGAGCCGCCACAGCTGGACGCTGATGGACACCTGGATGGGGGCCGAGGTGAAGTCCTGCTCCTTCTCGCCCGCCTGCAGCTGAACCAGCACCTGGTGGAGCTGAGGGAGGAGCACAGGTGAGCCCCACGCCTGCCCGGAGCCTCCGTCCCCTCCAGCCCACCTACAGTTTGTCCCCTGCGTTACTCCTGCGTCACCTGGTGCTGTCATCCCTAATGATCTCACATGTGCCCAGTACTGGAAGTTCCTCCTACGGCACCTCACGCCTACTGTCTTGGCTCCTCTTGGGAGGCTCGGGGCAGGGGAGGGGTCACAGGTTGGGAGCGCACTGGCGCCGGGGGCCTCGGGGGCTAGAAGAGGGGTGGGTTGTAGGACTGGCCGGCCCCCTCGATGATCTCGAGTTAATGGTGAAGGTATGTTCTAGAGCCTTAGCGCTCATGGAAGAACCCACAAGACCCATCCAAGTGCCCATGGCGCCTCGGGTCAGGGTCACTCACTTAAAGTCACTTCCGCCCCTGCTGTTCTGAGGGATCTTGAAAGATCAAAATCAGGAACACAAGAAGGGTGGAGCAGGAAAGGGAGCCAGAGCAGAGGAAGAGGGCAGACGCGCGAGCCGTGGCGGGGTCCGCCCAGCCCGGGGTGCACGGGCAGGTGCACGGGGCCGCGGCAGCGCGTGCACCGAGCTCACTGCAGGCCCGGGGGACGCGGGGGCGGCGGGTGCAGGGGCTCACCTGACAACGGTTGCTACTTAGAGTAGTTACTCACCATTCCAACCATATTTTTAACAGCCTTCGGCCAGCAGATTATAAGAAAAGAAAGAAAAAGAGAGAGAAAGAAGAGAGTTTAGACTCAAGCACAGGTTGTTATGCAACGCGAGCTGCTCACTGCTTTAGGAAGCGCCACACCAGGCCCGTGGCTCGACCGGGAGGGGAGAGGAGCGAGAGTCAGCAGGGACACACAGGAAAACAACAGGCACACCAGGCCCGACGGTCGGGGGCAGCCAGGCCCTGCTCTTCCTTGCCGGGGGAGGAGCAGGGCGGCCAGGACCCGGGGAGGGGGGTGGGGGGGAGGCACAGGCCACTCTAGAAATGCCCATGTTTCCAGAGTGACTCAGGAAATCTCCCCCCGCCCCCGGCTGCCAGGCACAGGGGGCAGCCCTGGACATGTGCCTGGGGCTAGCGGGATAGGAGGCAGAGAGTCCCCGTGATGCCACCCAAAGCAAGAAGTCAGGGAGCTGGCTTTGGGGACTCGGCCTTGGCCTGCAGGTATAATTCTAGAGTTCTGTTTTTTGTAGAGCACAGGCTTCCAGCCCTCCTGGGTTCAGGAGGTTCTAGAAGTGTCTTCCTGATTCTCTTCAACAAGGAGATGGGACACGCTTACTGCAGAGTGAGAAGAGCTCAGTAAGGGGCCACGTCACTGAGCTACAGTTCCAGATCTGGGCTGGCAACAACCCTGGTAGGTGGGGGCTCCAGGCACGCAGATTTTCAGACGTGACTCCTAGACAGAATAGCTTTATTTCCGCACAGAAATGTTTCCATTGAATATGAAAACTGATAAATATCTAACAATGATGTATATTGGCTTTTCAAATGATTACACCAAATGACCAGACACCATTGCCCTGTGCACGTCATGGTGGCTATTCCATCTGGAAGCCCTCCCACACACAGCGGCCACCCTGTGGTTCACAATGTCACTTCTTCCCCTCGTTCTGGACCCTCAATGGCAGTAGGAAGGCCAGGAGCTCTGAGGCCAAGTTGGGAAGGGCCTACACGATGCTGAGAGTTAGACTCTTCCTGATTCTTGAATTAGGCCTACACTCCCTTATAGGAAAGCACATTTTTAGAAACCTGCTAAGAAACCACATCTTGCATTGGAGCTCGCTCTGTGTTCGCGGCTGTGGCTACTTTGTTCGGGGCAGGGGTCATTCTCTGACTGGGACACCTGTAGCCACCTGGCAGGCTGGCCCTACACCTGCTGGCTGAGGGAATGTGGCCGTAACCCTTGTCGGCAGACAAAGCTGGTGGGTGGGGACGACAAGGTGCAGGAGGCGGCTGGATAGAGAATTCGGGAGACTGCAGGCGACAGGGGCCCCCCGAGGCATCCTCTGACGCCCCGCTGCTCTCAGAACCTGGCGCCCAGAGAGGACGGCACAAGCACCTGCCCCCTGTGCATGCACGTGCCTGGGGGGCTGTCTGGCCCCCCCAGCCCTGGCCTTTTCCTTCTAATCCCAAAGGCTGAAAAAAGCAACAAGACAGTGTTACTTGCAGATTCCTATTTAGGGCCAAATCACCCCGTCTTTCCGGCTTGGCATAGCCCTCAGCCCTGGGCTCAGCCGCCCTGGCTCAACTCACCCGGCTGATGAGCTGCTCGCCGGTCTCCGAGGCAGTGATGAGCTTGCAGAGGGCTTGGAGGGCAGGGTTGGGCAGACCTAAACCAAGAAGAGCGTGCGTTACTGGAGGGGCCTCTGTGCTCACGGCCCTCCCCAGGCTAAGAGCCTGAGATGGTCTGCGTCGGTGGCATTTTCAGAAGCTTGGGACAGCCGGGTGTGTGGGTCTCTGTCTGGCTTGAGAAAGGAGGGAAGGGGCTCCAGGGAGGCCAGCTCCTGGGGCCCCGGCTCTGGCTCAGGCAGCACCACCTCCTCTGAGCGATGCACCAAAGTCAGCTCTGAGTGCCTGCCGCCTGTTTGACCCCGGGGTTTGGCCCCGTGGCTCTGTTGACCCGAAGCTGCCAGTGAAAGATGAAGGCCACCACCGTTTGCCCGGCCTGCCCGTGTGACTGCAGGAAGAGGCAGCCGCGGCCGTGTCCTGCTGGGGCAGAGAACGCTATGCTGTTTCACATTCCCTCCACGTCCAGAGAGGTCTGTGTCGGTGACTCCGTGCCATTTTTTAGGACGCTGGCTCCTTCCCAGCTGTGGGACCCAGCGTCCCAGTGAACGCTGTGCCTGCGTGGTCAGCCAGCCCCCCGGGGGTCCCAGCCCAGCCTGCGGCTCACCCAGCAGGGACTGGATCGTGCTGCTGCAATGCTGGAGCCGGTCACCCGGGTCGGAGGTCGGGAAGAAGACGGCTGCGGGCAGGCCGCTGGCAGGGGGGTCCAGCCGGAAGCCCACAGCGGTGAGGAGGGCCTGCCAGCCAGGGATGCCGCCCACTTTGTTCTCCACGCTCTGCTGGGACGTGTACATGGCGTTGCGCTGCCCGTTCTGGATGCGCTGCAGGGACTTCTCCACCTGCAAGGGCAAGGGGGAGTGAAGCGCCACTCTGGGCCGCGGCCGGCCCTGGTTTCTCTCCCGGTGGCTCTGGGGACACACAAAGCCTGCGGCGTGAAGCCAGTAGTATGTGGGCTCCAGGGCCTGGGGAGCATGACGCTGGAGCCGCGACCGGGCTTCTCGCGGGAGGAGGGCACAAAGGGAAAGAAGGTTCCAGTCCATGCCAGTGAGGGCCCGGAGACTCGGGAGAATTCTGTCCCCTCCCGAGCCCATTCGTCCGCTCCCGGCTCTCCCCCACAGACACTCAGGTGACTTGCCTAAAACCCGCTCTCAGGCCTGCCTCAAAGCGTGTGGCGGCACCCCCTCGCTAGGACAGACCTTCAGGCCTCCAGCCCCCTTCGCTGGCCCACACACCTCGCACCTGAGCGGTCCCCATCGCGGGGCTCCGGGCAGCAGCGCCCTTCTTCCCCGCACCCCCGACTCCCCTTTCATCCCTCAGCAGTGGCCTCTAGAACCTACGGCCCCTCCCCCTGCAGTCCCGCTGCCCGTGCCAGGGCCGAAGCCGTGCCCGGCACACGTGGGCCGAGCCTGTCCGGGTAACTGCTGAGCTACCTGTCCCTGTGAGCCCTCGGCCGCACTCCAACAGCCTCCCGCCTCCCCGCAGGCTTCTCTCTTTAGGGGAGAGCTAGTCCCTCTGGAGATCCGAGTGGCCCGGGGCACGTGGGCCATCGCTGGAGGGCCGGAAGAGCCGTCCAAGACTTCCCCTGAGAATGCTCTTACAGCATTGCCCTGGGGTGCTGCAGACTGACGCCACGGGCAGGAGGGCGGGAGTGTCCCTGGGCAGGAAGAGCAGCCGGCTGGCTCACCCTTGGAGATGCACTGCCCACTGGGGCCCGAGGTTCCCAGGGTAGGTAGGAGGTAAGGGCCAGAGAACTTGACCCATGGAGCCCTGTACTCACCCCAGGAAATGAAGCCAAGAATAAAGAGTCAGCCCTTAAATGTGCCTGAGGGGCCTCAGGGCTGAGTGGGGAGCGAGAGGCCTGGCTCTGGCTCCAAGCCTGGTCGGGGAGAAGAAAGGCAAAGGGGTACAGACGGTGGTTTGGTTCCCTCAGGAAAGCAGCCCAGGGTCTGCAGCAAGGAAGGCGGGGACTCGGGGGTGACGGGGCTGCAGAGGGTTCTAAGCTGAGCAGCTGAATCGCTCTGTGCGGTTCCAGGCACAGGTTGGGATCAGATGAGAGTCTCCCCAAGTTCTCAGAGTGCTACCCTGGAGTAGGCGGTGTGAGTTGCCTCAAGTCTGGCCCATGGGCCGCCTGGGTTTTCAGGTGGCCGCCTTCCTCCCTGGCCACATGCTGAGGTCAGGCAGACCCCAGGCTCAGGAAACGTACAGACCTGCCACCAGGAGCGCACTGGGTGCCACCACCCGGGGCCCTGGGGCACACGGGGGCAGTAAGTGTGCCCAGCTGAGGGGACGTGCCCACCGGGATCCGGCCCCCAAAGTAAGCTCCCAGTCTGCTCCCAGGGTCACATGTCCTTGCTCTCAAGCTTGGACAGGGCCGCGGTGTGTGCACCTCAGTCCTCAGAGGTGGCTGCGGGCGGCTGTGTGCATTGGGTCTGGAAGGAGCATGGATGTGGTGTGGACCGTGCACCCACATGGACTCCCAGGCAGGGGACCCCCAGGCTGGGGTGGGGCTGGTCTTTCCTGCAGAGCCCCATGGTGGCTGACAGTTCTAAATTGTCAGAAACGGCCTCCAGGATAGCAGGTGGAAGGGTGGGACAGGCGTGTCGCTGCTTCTCGGCCTGATGGAGAACTTTTAAATGTGTGGACGATGACATGGGGCCTCTGTCTATATCCTTACCCTGGTCCCACAGAGGCTGGGATGGGCCAAATACAGCATCAGTGCTGGCCTCTTCCTCCAGTGAAATTTGAGGGAGGGCCAGTGCCGTTTGACATCCCTCAGCCACTAGGCTGTGTGCCAGCTACTCACCTGTTCTCTAATCCTCCCGATAACGTTGAAAAATTCAAAGTTTTATCCCCGCTTCCGGATGAGGAAATTGAGGCTCAGAGAGCCAGGTGACTTGCCCAAAGCCACATGGCCCAGAAGCAGCCGCGGTGTGGGCCCCAGGACCTTGGCAAGGACTGCCACCGCTGTGCTCAGGACATGTGTCATGCCTGCCGCTCGACCAATTGGCTCAACCCGTAGATACGTGGGGATGGCGCCCCTCCACCTGCTCCTGTCCCCTCCTCTCAAGGGCGTCTTGCCCCCCGGGAGCCTGGGCGCGGCCCTTACCAGGTGCAGCAGCACGCGCAGGGCGTCCCGTGCGCGCTCCGGGTGCTGGAGGATCTCAGTGAGGGCCTGGCCGATGAGCGACGAGGGGCTGTTCAGCTTAACGTCGCTGCCGATGAGCAAGAACCCTGTGGAGAACCAAGGCGGGAGTCTCTGAGCCAGCGCTTGCGGGCGCCTCACAGCCACCGGGCCACTGGGAGGTGCCTGCGCGGCACAGTGGGATGGGCGGTGGGGATGTCTAACTCACTGGGGTCCCTTCGGTGCCCTTCTGTCCCCTCCCTTTTGAGAACTGATACCCTTTCACTGCTCGGGGAGCGGTGGGCACCGGGAGTGAAGGCAGGAGGAGGCTGCGGTGTCTCCGGGCTGATGGCTGGGCGCCCGGGGCCCCTTCCCTGGCCCGGCCGCCATCCTGAGGAGCGATGGGCCGTTCCCGGACACCTGCGACGCCTCTGGGTCTGTGTGCAGCGCGCAGGGGGCTGGGGCTGCCGGACGCGGGGCAGGAGGCACCCTTCTCTAGTGGCAGGAACGAGCAGGCTGGGGGCCTGCACGGTGGCCTGTGTGCTGCCCCCCCCCCCCACGACAGCGCCGGGGGAGGTGGACAGAGCGGTCTCCTTGAGCCGCCAACAAGCTTAGGTACCACCTACCTGCCCCCGGATAATGGAGAAAAGGGGGCTTCCAAGAGCATGGAGGAGGCAGGGCTGTTTGTAAGGTTAGCAGGGCGGCATCATTCAGACACCACCGTCCCCAGCACTGAGCGGGGACTCGTGTGCTGTCTGTCACTAAAACAAGGACAAAAACAGCACACGCAGAGGCCCGCTAGGGAGATGGGGAGGGCTCCCCCAGAGAGGGGCAGGGTCCTGTTGGGAAGAAGTGCTGAGCACGGGGCCCAAAGCCCCTCTGACTGTCGTCCCGTGCTGCTGGCTGTTGTGGGGCCGCCGCCAGGCCCTGCTTTCTGTACCTCCTGGTGGGGGAGGCAGCTGAACCATGAAGTCCGGCCTCGGCACCTGCCCTCCCTCCCCTCACGGAACGGCTGCCAGTGGGAGTTCTCTTCAGCCATGTGAGCAAACAGGGCGGATTCTGTTCTGTTCCTTTCAAATACCTTTCAAGAAAATACTGCACCTGTGCTGAGTGTGTGAAATAGGCAAACGTTTCCATTTCTGAACACGCTCAGCAGCCGGGTGCCACCACCGGCCCTCATGGCTCTATAAATGTTTAAAGATCGTTACCCCCCCCCCCGAAATTGGCATTTCTGTTTCTCGAGAATTCAGACAGTCTGTTTACGGGTCAGTCCCATTGCTACAGCGTTGGTGGGAACTTGGCCTTTGGTTTGGAGTGTCCTGGGGAGGTGTAGGGGCCGATTCTGCGAGACAGCCGGCCACAGGCTGACAGATCGTGGGGTGCATCCGTGACATGGCCCCGGCTGGGTGAAGCCGGGTGGGAGAGCTGCGGGGGGCGGGTTGGACTTTGTGTTGGCAGCCTGTCGGGGAGGGCCTCCCACACGGGAGGGTCCCCGGGTGCGCCCCTGTCCCACCTCCTGTGACCAGATGTCACAGACAACACTGTCCCTTCACTCTCAGACCTCCGAGCTCATGGCAGGTGTGCTCAGGGCACGTGCTGTCGCCACTCCTCCAGGCAGCGTCACACGGACCACGACGCTGAGCTCCAGAAAGGGCAAGGAAGCTGCCTTAGGTCACAGAGCCCAGACACGGAGCTGGGTCAAACCCAAGTCTCCCGATGACCAAACCCCGGGGCCTTGTACCACATGGCTCTTCCCTACAGTCAGTCATGGGGCCTCACACGAGGGCGCCAAAGATGGGCCCCCCAGCACACACTAGCCTCAGGGGAGGTCTACGCTCACACTCTGATGGCAGAATATTCTGCAGCTCCCTCGTCAGAAAGACCACTTCAGTACCTGGTGGTAAAGGGCAGACTGGCAGGAGGCCGGAGTCTCCGCAAACACAGCCCTCTCCCTGCACCTCCCCAGGGGGCTGTAAGGACCGAGCCTGGGCCTGCTGGCGGGTGCCGGCGCTCCTACCTGCCCAGTTGGACGGGTGCGAGAAGGCCTTGCTGCTCTGCACCGCCTTCATGGCCTCCCCCAGGGCCGCGCTGGCTTTCAGGCCATTCAGCAGGGAGGAGTAGAGGGTGTGGAGGAGCATCTTGGAGGCAGCCACAGGCACAGGCCACAGAGACACGAGAACACACTGTGCGCCGGCCGCCAGGAAGGCCCGCGTCAGCGCGATGACCCCGTCCGCCGTGACCTTGCTGTTGGACTCCTGGGAGGAGCCGAGGACCACCAGCTTCACGGGAAGCCGCAGGTCCAGGACGTCAGCGGCCGTCAGCAGCAGCTCCTGCAGGGGCGGGCAGTCCGAGATGCTGTCCCCGTCGCTGGCGTCGTCCTGCACCCGCAGGGACTCGGGGATCGTGTAGGGGTGGCCGAAGGAGCTCTTGCTGCTGGCGGGGTTGCCGTCCGCGCTGGGCGTGAGGACCAAGGCCGACAGTTTCCAAGAGATGTGGGTGGCAAAGTGGACGCACTCGGCCTGGGTCAGAGCACTCATGACCCTCTCCTTGGTGGCCACGCTGCCCACCAGGGGCTGGCAGCCTAGCAGCTCGGACACCATGTAGGCCTCCTCCTCGGCCGATGGCATCGGCCCCCACAGCCACCTGTCCATCACGGCTGACGGCAGCTTGGGGTTACCGACAACGGCCGCCATGGACGTGGAGCTGGAGGGTGTGGGCGGGTTCTTCCTCAGGTGAGACTGGAAGGGAAGACAGACCAGCACACCATCCATCAGTTGGTGGCCCGGTGGCCCGGTGGCCCAGCCCCCCGCAGCAGCCGGCCGAGCCACAGGCTTCCGGGGAGTGCAGGGCTGGGCCCAGCGCGGCTGCACCTGCTCCCCCACTGACCCCGTTCACTCGAATGTTTGACACCTTTTATACCCAGGTGCTGTTGTCACTGAGAATCACACCTGCTATATGACAAGCCCTTGACAACAGGGACTGGACGGTGGGGGAGGGGGCTCCCCTGTTTGTGCAGCCCCGGGGGCCCTGGGGCAGGAGGCGAGGCCGTGTGGGGCCAGCCTGCCCCACGCGTCTCACTCCCGCAGACCTCCCTGCGGGCCCCGAAATAAGGGGGACGCCCGTTCCCGAGGAGTCAGGGCTCAGAGGGGTGACAAAAGGCAAGTCCGTCTCAGCAGAGCCAGGGTGACTTAGGACACTCTGTACTGCAGAGTTCACAGTGGGCCTCTGCTCTGTGTGCTGCAAAATAGAAACATCACCGAATTCTAAAATCAGCGTAAAGAATCCAACAAAGTTTCTGGTTTCCCTTCAGAGGTGCCTTTTGATGCTCTGGGGGAGACATCAGATATCAAATTATTACAGAATAACTTGCTGGTGGCTCCACGTGGTGATGCCTCAAATGCTGGGCAAGAGACAGGCCACCTTCCCCCCGCCCCCCAACAGCAGGCTCACGATTGTCATCAGCACGAAGCTCTCTCAACACGGGCTGCCTCTGCCCCCCTGGGGGTCTCTGGCAGCAGACGCAGCGAGCGGCCCCCATGCAGGACAGTGTCTAGCAAGGCCGGCTCCCTTCGCATCTGGGGTTCGTGCACGGACACACAAAATAGAGGAAATAGTTTCTTTCCCTTTGAACTGATTCTCTTCCATGAGAAAGTTACAATCCAGTCACAGAACACAGTCAAACAAGTGAGGTTTCCCAAGCCCCGAGAGGCAGAAGCTGCCCTGGTTTGAACCACGTCAATGACCAAGGTCAACAGAGGCTAAGGCAGGTTTCAAGGGGGCTGTCCACACCCAGGGTCCAGGATTTGGGTTCCTAAACGAGCCACTTTCTCCCCCTAGGAGGAGCCCCATCTGAGCTGGCTCTGCCTGTGGGTCTGCGGGGCTCTGAGGGCGGCGGCAACTTGCGGGCATTTTCCGGTTTGAAGGCTGGGTGGGCAGCTGGGCTGCCAAGTGCGTGCCCAGCGGGTCGGGGGCCATGAGGGTCTGCGAGGGTTTGGAGAAGGGGAAGAGCCTCGGGGTTGGCTGGAAGGCTCTCTAATGAGGCAGGCAGGCCGAGGAGGCTGTGGGGGGCGACCCAGGACTCTGTGGATGGCCTACTGTCACCCTCTTGATTTTTGTGGATGTTTCTTCTATACCAACTCCTGTGCTGAATGAGATCCGAATCCCTGTTGGTCCCCTGAAAGCCACCTCATTTGTGTTCGGTTCTTTCGGTGGCCTGTGAGACCCTTCCCCACTTGACGGTAATCTCATTTGTGACCCAGCCCTGTCTGCGGCCCCCGCCGTGGGCAGACTCGGCGCCCAGGCAGCGGGCAGCATGAGGCGGGGGGCACTGGGGGAAACCCCGTTCCTCAGATACTCAGCCTGGCCTCGGGCCTGACCCGGTGCCTCTGAGTAGCTCACGACCTTGATGTCACAGCAAAGACATCTGGAGAGAAATGACACACATCATGGCTTCCTGGGGCAGTGAAGAACAGTCAGGGTCAGGAGGGCTGTCCCTCGGCCTCTGGACGGATCTGCTCTCAGGGCAACCTACCGGGCCGCAAACTACAAAGTTAACACCGTGAAGAGATCCCGCTCTGACCCCGGGGAGCCCAGCCCGGCCGGGAAGACCGTGGTCTGGGACCCCCTGCGAGGCACCGCAGCGGGCGCAAGGCTTACCTTGGACTGCGGGCTGAGGGAGCGGATGGACGGCACGGCGATGAGGGCGAAGCGCTCGTACAGGTACTCATTGGACGAGCTTCCCTTCAGGAGGGCGAAGGGGATGAGGTAGAGCTCCCCCTCCAGGACCAGAACCAGCTGCCGGTGCCGGCCCACAGGGCCGCTGGAGTGCATCAGGCCCTGTAGGGAGTGCGGACGCCTGAGCCGGGGCCCAGCGGGCGGGGGCCTGCCCGCACGAGGCGCTGCCGAGCCTGGCACAGAGGTGTGCCCAGGGAGCACCGGGCAGGCCCAAAGCGTCCACGTGGGGGCACGCGCGGCGGCTTGGAATGTCACCGGGTGGGAGCTTCCATCCACCTCACGGGCCCTGCCCAAGGGGGAGGTTGGGAGCCAATCCCTGTATTTTATTTTATTTTTAGAGAGAGAGTGCATGCGAGTGGGAGAAGGGCAGAGAGAGAGAGAGAGATAGAGAGACAGAGACAGAGACAGAGACAGAGACAGAGACAGAGAGAGAGGATTTCAGGCTGAATGCAGAGCCCGACATGGGGCTTAATCCCATGAGCCTGGAATCATGACCTGAGCCAAAATTAAGAGTCAGACACTCAACTGACTGAGCCACACAGGTGCCCCTGGGGGCCAGTCTTTTAAGTCAGCAGGGCAGGGTGGGAGACCAGTTCACCAGTCAAGGAGGGGGTATCCCACGAAGACCAGGACTGGCCCCAGAAGGTCTGTGGGAGGGAGGAAATTGTTCCAGAAAGAGTCCTGAGAGTCATGCACTGCAGAGGGCCAGGCCAGAGGAGGCTACGTTGGTTGGGAAGCCCTCAGAGCAGTGTAGGTGTGACTGCTCTGTGATGCCTGACCTGGGCCCCGGCAGAGCGTGAACAGAGATGATGCCGAAGCTGCTGCCACACGAGGGGATGCCACCCAGAGCCCGCCCGGGGAGGGGACTGCACACAAGCACGCAGTGCCCAGCTGCCGGCCCGGCCCTGGCTCTGGGGACAGTCACAGCTGGGTGCCTGTCACCCTCACCCCTGCTAGCCTGTGCTCCGCAGGAGCAAGCATGCGCACCTAATTCGTCTGATGTGCTGCCGCGGGCTCTTGGCTGAGGCTGCGCAAGGCACTCAGCTAACCCCACGTGACACGTGCCTGGTGGGAAGTTCAGTCTACAAACCCCCCCATGGCTCTTTCTCTTTTTAAAATTTCCAGATGCATCAAAAGAAAGCAGAAATAAAAACTACTAGGCCAATTTGCTTGCTGTTTACTTTAAGAGCTATTTCCCAAGAGGGTGTAAAGGAATCACTGTACAGCCCAGGGAGAAGGAAGTGGGGGTGTGTCACACTGTGATGACTTTCTGGGTTGGCCCAGGGAGGCGGGGAGGGCTGGGTGCCCGCGGCGGGCAGTCCCCACCCACAGTGGCCACACGGAGGGCCCTGCCTGGCCCTGCAGGTGGAGGTGGCCCTGGGAAGCAGCACTGGAGGGCCCTGACCTTGCTGATGGGTCAGCAGCCTAAACAGTGACAACCACTCACTGCTCAGCGGGGCCCCCCCATCCCACATGTGGGCAATGTGGGGGCTCGGGCTATTGCCACGTGCAAAACCAGACCCACCCCCGGCTGATCCAGCGTCACCAGGCATTTGTTGGACGAGATGCCAGCCCCACCCTCACAGGCCCTCCCTGGACTCCAGCTGCCGGGGCCCAAGCCCCCGATAAGTCCCTGTCAGGTGTCACCCATAGGTCGTGGGCTTCCCCGGGACACACACCACTCTTGAACAAGTCCCCAGTCATGACAGCATGCATCCATGGGAATCAGAGTGGACAGAGGGGTGCTGGGGCTGGTGAGGGTGTGCCGCTGAGGCTGGAGGCCGTTCAGAGAGGCGTCGCTGGCAGGGTGTTTGCAGGGATTCTGTGAGCTCTGCCTGCAAGGCCTTATCTGGGGCATCAGCCTAAACGTGGATGATGTCATGTCCCTTAATGCAGCGTGGGTGTCTTCCCCGACAATAAATTCTCATCTCAGGAAAATACAAAGCAAAGCCACACTGAGATACCACCTCACGCTGGTCAGAGTGGCGAAAATGAACAAATCAGAGGACTCTAGATGCTGGCGAGGATGTGGAGAAACGGGCACCCTCCTACACTGTTGGTGGGAATGTAAACTGGTACAGCCCCTCTGGAAAACAGTGTGGAGGTTCCTCAAAAAATTAACAGTAGAACTCCCCTATGACCCAGCAATAGCACTGCTAGGAATTTACCCAAGGGATACAGGAGTGCTGATGCATAGGGGCACATGTACCCCAATGTTCATAGCAGCACTCTCAACAACAGCCAAAACATGGAAAGGGCCTAAGTGTCCATCAACTGACAAATGGATCAAGAAGATGTGGTTTATCTATACAATGGAATACTACATGGCAATGAGAAAGAAAGAAATCTGGCCATGTGTAGCAACATGGATGGACCTTGAGGGTGTTATGCTGAGCGAAATAAGTCAGGCAGAGAAGGACAGATACCGTGTGTTTGCACTCATGTGCATCTTGAGAAACTTAACAGAAGACCATGGGGGAGTGTGTGTGGGGGGGAGTTACAAACAGAGAGGGAGAGAGGGTGACTCTTAAATACAGCAAACTGAGGGCTGATGGGGGTGGGGGAAAGGGGAAAGTGGGTGATGGGCATGGAGAAGGGCACTTGTTGGGATAAGCACTGGGTGTTGTATGGAAGCCAATATGACAATAAATTATATTTAAAAAAATAAAAATAAAAATAAATAAGTTCTGGTCTCTACGAGGGGCAGTCAGCGTCATGTGGCCCTGCTACTGGGAGTCCGTCCCCCTTACCAGGCGGGGGCTTCTCCATCAGCCAGGGAGACCGCGGAGAAGTCAGGCATCTGTGCCTGCTCGCAAGCTTACAATGACATACTCAGAGAATGTACACAAAAGCCCCTTACTGAACGAGGTGGTATTAAATATAGCATCACCGCAGGAGTCTAAGGTGACAGCCCCAGAGGGTAGGGGTACCTACCCAGGACGTGACCGGCTAGGGAGGGCCTGGCCTGGGCAGAGAAGGCCCGTGAGGTAAACAGAGAACAAGGCTAGGGAGGGCCTGGCCTGAGGACAGATGGGGACACGCAGCCTCATGGGCTGTAGGCCTCTGCCCCGTGGAGTCTGTGGACGCACCTCTGATGAAGTGTTCAGAGGTAGCCGCGTCACAGGGGACGGGGCTGTGCATGCTAACGCCAACGAGGAGACGTGCACGGAGAGAATGGGACAGGAGCCTGGCCAGAACTCGGTGAAGAGGGACCACAGTTGTGAGGGGAGGGGAGTCTCTGGAATTTGAGCCTGGAGATGGGTAGAGTTTTCCCTGAATGCACTGCATACCCCAATTCACAGGTCTGGGTCCTCTCAGAATGGAGGCTTGTGGTCGGTACTGAGCTGTGCGGGCGCAGCCCCGAATGGGACCCCTATCCAGACAGTATGGAATGTGGCAGGTGACAGCAGCACGGGCCTGGGGGTGGACGGGCCCCACAGCAGGCTGCCAGCTCTGGTTAGAAGATAGGGGACGGACTGAACATGCTGGACAAGAAGCCCTGGAGACGGGTACTGGATTTTCTGCATCCAGGGTACACGTGCACTGCCCTCATACCGAAAGATTAGCCATAATCCAATGTGAACTTGAAAATGGAAAATAAAGTGATGTCTCTTTCCAAATTACATATTGTCTATTAGATGGAAAAAGGAAATTCGAGGAAAGGCTGCTCTGCGCCTCTGCATGTTAGTCTAGACAGGGTATTTGTTGGCTTCTCAAGTCCTGGGCTTGTATGATAAACGAGCTCAGCATCAGCCCCATGCCAGCAACTAACACATTCCCACAAGTTCCAGTAAAGACGCCGACTTTCTGACTTCTGAAGTTTCTAGAAATGGATCTTTAAAAATAGCGTTAAGATAAAAAGGCCAGGGTGCTAAAACCTGTCTCCTCCCCCGGGGCCTTGCCCATCCCAGCGTGTGCCAGGCCCAGGGCGGAAAAAGAAAAGGGAGAGAGCGAGCACCCCAAAAGGGAGGCCTGGCAATGAGAGGCTTCAGGCTAAGCCCAGTTTTTGCACCGGGGGCAGGCTGTTCCTTGAGACGGGGCAGGTGGCGGGCACCCTGGAGAAGGGTGTCTGGACAGCCGTTAGACTCGGCTCCTGATACCCTGTTAGCACCTGCCTCATGCCGGGTTCCCGCAGAAAGGTCTCCTGTGGCGGCAGCTCGGTGCTGAGCTTTCTCAGGGGAGGCCGCGGAGGGAAGAGATGCTCCTGCTGGCCTCGGTCAGCGGTGTGTGTGTGTGTGTGTGTGTGTGGGAATGTGTAGTGGAGCCCAGAATGTGTGTGTCTGGGTCCCTGCAGTCTAGGCCTGGCGATCACCTTCCCACAGCCCTTTCTACATGAACACCGGGGCTCCGGGGAGCATGGGCCTTCAGCAGGCCCCCTGCCCCGGCAGGCGCCTGGACTCGCACCGCTCGCCCTTGCCAACCAGCAGCCGATTGTCTGCCCTCCTGCCGCCATGCAGGGGGTGGCCTTTGCTTGCCAGCAACTGAAGACACGCCCCTGCCTGGCCAAACCAGGGGGCTGAGCCACACCTTCCAGGGGTCCACCCTTTCCCGGACGAGCTCCATGCGGCCTGTGTCCCGGCTGCTGGCTTAAGTGCTATGTGCTCCACACAGGCCCCTGGGGTTCAGAGGACCTTCCTGCGTTCCCAACATACAGTGAGGGAGCCTCGCTGTTGCTAGAGGACACAGGGACCCCCTCAGGGTGTCACAGCAGCACAGGCCAGAGGAATAAACACCCCAATTCTGGCTCCACAAATTCTGGGGCAGATTCAACTGGATAAAATGGACTTTATCATCTACAAGGATTCCAGAAGCAAGACATGCTGGGAATCTGGATAATGCAGAGCCATGCTATAGGCTTGGGATTTTTGTCCTGACTCATACTTTTGATCGAGTGAATTGATCAGAACTTTTTAAGGTAGAGAAACCTCTTCTATGATGCTTCTGGGAGATCCTAGCATCACGGAAGCCTGCACACAGTTTCAGCAAATATCACATACCTGTTGGAAGTAATGCTCAAACCATGACTAAACTCTACAAAGACTGTAGACGCTGTAATCCAACGAGAAATGCAAGAGTAAAGGTCAACCCCTCGACTATTTTCT